CGTATGGCTGCCACGTGCATGGAAAAGAATCACACATATTTCAATACACATGAAACGTGAATTACGTTCTGAATCGTTGAAACCGATGATCCAATTAATCGCAAAATCGTATCTTCAACAGCATCATTTTATGTCGCTTTACTCGGCCATCACCAATACTCCGCCGTTGGAATTGGCATATTGAATACGTGGCAAATGTAACTTTGGCAAGAACTGAAAAATCGGCGACATGACGATAATGAAATTATTCTTGACGTAAATGTTGCGTAAATATTAATGGTGAATTTCTCTCCAGCTGCCAAATGTAATCATTCATGAGCCTCCGTCACTACTTCAGCAGGCAAAGTTTTACGAAATCAATTCGACGAAGTAATGGTATCGGTTCGGCTTTCCTGGTTATTTTTGATGGTCAATTGATTTATTCGGCAACGCACCGATTTCCAACATTTTGTTCAATTCTACAGGCCGATTTGTATATCATTTATATGGCAATCAATTGGATCATCGAGAACAATTATCACTCAACGGCAATTACCATCATAAGCAACAATATTGGGGCAATAATGCATATTATCAAGAAAAATAACAAGAAAAAATCGGAAATTGCCAAATCTATTATTGAATCAACAAATGAAAACATAATCATCTGCTGGCGTAAAATTGATAAAAGTGACCGATTACAACGACAAAGTAAAAAGAAAGCAGCAACAACGGCCAACAACCATTATCATCAATTATCATATCAACATGGCCCAATGAAATTTTAGAAAAGACAAGAAAAATTATTATGCTCAACAATTGGTCGTCATACTATGAAAATGATTCTGCCGGGTACAACAATCAAAAACATTATGTTCCTCATCTAAAACAACGCACGAATTTTGCCAAATATGCATCCTTCTGGTTGTCACAAAAGCTTAACTGGACACGGCCAGTTTGGTCAGTTCTGTATCGATTCGGATTTTCAAATGATCAATCTTGCTGAATGTGGATACGAATTGGCAATCCCGTTTTACCACTTTTACGAAAATGATTGCCCGCTAACATATCGTCTACGTCATGATTATATCGTAGCATTATCAACATGTATCACCATCGACGAAAAAAATTAAAATGTAAAGTTATAATTATATGAACAATTGCCATGCCGTATTAGCTTGATCGATTTGCTATAATTCAATTCATCGTGCCAGTAATCATTGATCAGCCGAAGAATGTTTCGATTCAGTGATTTTTATTCATCAATTATTCATCAATTAATTTAAGTGATTTTCATCAACATTCTTTTTAATCATTTGTTTTTTTTTTTCTTTTTTTTTATTTACTGTTACACTTTTATTCTTCACCTTACATCGGACACAACACAATTACAGACTTAGGATTAACAAATTGTATTTATTATCATTGTCACCACACACAGAACACAACACATAATCCAACATTACACACACACATAGGATACATCTACACAAGAATTGCACACATGTAGGATTATCAAATTGTTATTTATTTATTCAAATCATCGCCAACTCATCACATGATTGATCATAATGCCATCCAGATAACGGTACTAGTCAATGAAATTTGATGATAGCCAACATGAATTATTAGTTATGATGCCATAATTGTGCTCACAATCAACATTCATGATGGACTCAGTGATATTTGGGAAAAGAAAAAGCAAAAAGTTAACAAATTGATCAAATTGGCTGTGATACTTATCTGTTTTAAAAATACGCTGAATACCTAGTTGAAAATAATTCAAATGATGATCAACATATTGCTCTCGAATGTAAACATCAACAATATTGTACACATCATATATGAACATATTGTGGCTCGTTCAAGTGAGCAATCATGAACACACATCTACATGAAAAAGCTGCAGTCCAGCTTATTGATTTTGCTCACCAAAAGATACACAAATTAACTATTTGAGCGAACAGCCAGTTTGTTGAGCCTCTTGTGTGTGCTTCCCTGAAAACAGCGTGCTACCACTTTATGTGTGCGTTTTCATCGAATCGCGCTAGCTCAACACAAGAAAATTTTGTTTTGTTCGATTGAATTTACCATTGAATCATCAAGAAATTGATCATCATCATCATCACAACTATCATTTGCAGGCCTCATGCTTATGACTGGCCATCGAAATGGCCTTCAGATCAATGCCAGCATATATAAACAAAGAAATCATTTGTTCTAGTTGTGAATCGAAATTTTCTTCGTGCATGGTGCATTGAAAATTTCAGTGATTTTTTTTGATAAAATTGTGCTACATGCGTCCTCGAACCATATCATCAAATTTATCATCATTCATCCATCCCACTTCCCATCCCCTCATCATTATTAGCACGATCCAATTGAATGGATCGCTCATCATTGGCTCTTTTCATCATTCCATCCACCTGGCTCTCATTCTTGGTTCCATCTGTTATCATTTCTGGCCGTAATCATCATCATCACTCGGCCGAAATCATATATCTGTTCTGTGGTATTCATCATTGGTCGCTGGATTTTTGAGTTGCAGTCATCGCCATCTACCGTATTCGTATTCGGCCACCATTCCTTGAAATCCAATATGAACAAAAACAAGTGGGCAAGGAATTAATCGTTTTTCAAAACCAGATGGCAGCACTGTCGCCCATGGGAGACAAAAAATATGATCTTACCAAATTCGACCACCACCAATTATCATATTGTTCCCAATGAATACACGCAATACATAATACATAATTTATCATTTGTATTTTTTTTTTTTTTTTTTTCTTGTTTTTTTCCAAAAATTTTGATTGTTTTATTATCATTTTCTTTGTATTTTTTTTTATTATTATTATGATATTATTCATGTGCTGGCCATGTCCGGCAAATAAAGTAAATTTTAAAATTCAAAACAAAAACTCTAATCCTAATCCTAATCCTAACCTAATCCTAACCCTTTTCAAGCCAAAACGGTCATCTTCTTCAAATTCCACGACAAATAATCCAAATGAAAATAATTCTGAAAAATAAATCAATTAATCAACAATGGCAAAAACTGAACATTAAATATCACAGACAAATTAATCACAGTCAAACCTGTTATAAAACACATCGAATTAAAATCCTGGCCAGTTTCGTGTCGTCACTAGAAAGAATGAAGAAATTATCACAAGAAACAACATGCATTTAACGTATTCAATAGTAACCAAAAAATCGATCCCGCACCAAAATAATCCATCATCACCGATTGTCAACAATAAAGTGAGCAGCTATGCCATTTCAACAGCAATGATCAATCATTGTCATTTCAACACAAGTGATTCATATATGCTTGCTGTGTATATAGATACGACAAAATAAAAATCCTGGCGCCAAAAATCAACGGCTATGGGCGTTAATCGATACAAATGTCTCATAAAAATCTTAATGTCGCTTCAAAAATCACACTTGACTACCAAATGATAATCAATGTCGCCTCTATCATGTATGCCACTGGCACTAATCGTGATCAAAATTTTAGAAATTTCTTCCAATATATAAGTCGCCAAAATTGCCAGTTTTCTTCGAGATCACCGACCTAAAGGGTTATGATGTTTAAAATTTTCTTTATTTTTGAAATTTTGTTATTGTTTTTCTTTGATGGTATTTTATCGTCAAACATTTCTTTTTGTTTTTCAACGATCACCAGCTTACACAAACATATCACACACACACAAATACACTATACACTTTGGCTTCTCTTTCATTTTGTTAGAGTACTCTTCTGGTCATCATCATCATCATTGGCTTTTGTTTTCGTTGGCCTGGATTCATTTTTGCTCCATCCGGCTGTTTCATTGATTGGCTGGTTCTTTGGCATATTCTCTCTGCCGGTCATTTTTATTGGCTCGTCTTCCACTTGTGGCTTCCATTTTCTCTGGCGGCCGCCTTCTCGTACCATTAACATCATCACAGCATGAATAATCACCAGTTTTCTCCGGTCACCGAATCTCTTCGATTCACACACATAATCCTCCTTCACACACACAAACAAAGGACACAAAATTTTTATTTGAATTCATTCATTTTATTCAAAATTTTTACTTATTAGTTTTTTTTTTTCCTTTTTCTTCTATTTTTGTTTTTTTTTTCTTTCCTTTTTTTTTCATTTATCGAATCCATTCCATCCTTTTATCATCATTGTACTGGATTGTTTTCTGGATTGGCCATTGCCGATCTATTTTAAAAGAATAATAAAGATTAGTCTTTTTAAAAAAACCTAACCTAACCAACCTAAATCCAACAAGAATAATCAACAAAAACCAACAGTATTAATTAATTTAAAATCGCCATGGACGAAACCAACAAACAACTAAAATCAATGATAAAACAAAAGAAGAAAAATCAACAAATTTTAATAATATAATAATTACCAATGAAAACAATTATAAACGACCACAATCCAAATCAATAATTTATATAACAAGAATCAACAATAATCGGCAACAACGATAACAATAACAATCAGCATAAAACCGATAATTTAAAATCTGAAAAATAAAATCAACAACAACAAGAATCAATAATATCAACAAGTAAACAACAACACTTACCAGTATTCATTTGACAAAATAACAACAACGAACGAATAGAATCAACAAGGCACCGCCAACGCATAAGAAATATTCTGTAAAGAAAAATCAATATGGTATACAACTAATTATAATGATTATCAACAATATCACCGGGCAACAAATGATGGTTTTGACGATTAAAGAAATGATACAACCACATAATGATGACAACGATTCTAATGGAATATCATAGACTGATCTCGACACCAAACAGCACGATGATATATGAATATTAAAATGGAACACCAAGAATTTACCATCAACATTGGATATGGCTGGCAGAACCACAATACAACACCAGTAGCAACAACGAAACCAAAACCAGCATGGCAAAACATGACAATGGCGTTTTGCAATAATCATGACAACTGAGTGGCATTTACAATCAACAATTAATCATACAGTCAACATTGAACGAAAAAAAAAATTGGCCAACTCACTAGCAAAACAACGTAAGTCATGCAAAATCTTAGTCCATTCATAACAATGTCAATGTACACGCATGCACACAAACAAAGAAAACAAAGAAAACAATCTTTTTTCTTTTTGGCGCCAATTAACGCCCAACAAATAGATCATGAAACAAAAATCCATTTTCTTGTATACGAATTGACCATTATCAGACATAGTTTTCACTATTTTGTGTACCACTTGTACATCGAATACACCACTAGGACACAAAACATGCTACAAATTTTTCACATATAAAAATCTTGATGAAACAAGCAATCGTTGCGATTTACAACGACCTAGTGTTGTGATGAAAGACATTTTTCAATCTTTGATTTTCTCTCCCACACACCGCGTCATATTGTATCCAATCTTGTCGATTTTCATCTTTGTCGTTTTCTTTTTCATTTCTTCACGACAATCATCGACACATACACCATACAAAACACACATTCATTTACACAGCCATCTACACACACGTCTTGGCCCGTTGGCTCAAACATGTCACAATACATAGGACACACAGGGTCTTTCTTTTCCTTTCCTTTTCTTTCTTCCCACACATACAAGAAATGGACACATTTTTATTTTTGGAATCATTTTCTTTATTCAATTTTATTGTTGTTTTTTTTTTATTATTATTTTACTTATGTTTTTTTTTCTGATCCATTGATATCAGTCTTTTATTTGATTCTGTATTATTTTTGAGGTCCTTGGTTTGGCCATTTGCCGACCTATTTTAAAAGAAAGAAAATAAAATTTAATTTTTAATTAAAAAAAAAAAAAAAAACCAACCTAACCTACAAAACCCAACCTTCTGGGATTATCGTAAATCAGGTCACTCGCTTCGCTCGTGAGGTTTTGCTCGAAAGGCACTCCTCCAGGACATCGCAAAACCGTCACGAGCTTCGCTCGTGAGGTTTTGCTCGATTGTCCTCCCATCATCTGGCCACCGATAATTGTGTAACTATCCGATCAGTACAGTACATTAATTTCAAAAAAAATTCACGAAACTGTCGAATCTGGCATTAACTGGTGATTTGTGCCGCAACTGTCGATATTATGGTGAGGTTTGGATGAACCTCACACAAATGTATCAAAATATTGATACTGTAGCAAAAAATCGATACTGTATCAAAAAATTGATACTGTAGCAAAAAAACGACAATGTAGCAAAAAAAGATACTGTAACAAAATATTGATACTGTAGCAAAAAAAATGATATTAGGTAATACCTGCTTTAACGCGGGGTTACGTCTCCAAAATTTTATGCGTAAAATGAAACAGCGCTAAGCGGGGCTATTTTTACATAATGCATTTTTACCCTTCATATACAATGTAACAATGTAATTCAATGTAATGTAATTGTACAGCGTTATATCGAAACAGCGCTAATCGGGGCAGCGTTAAGCGGGGTATGAGTGTACTTAATGTAATGAACTGCTCGGATATTTACACAATTATCGGTGACCAAATGCCCGGGAGGACAATCGAGCAAAACCTCACGAGCCAAGCTTTATTATTATTATTAATGAAAAAGTAGTCAAAAGTCAATTTTAAATTAAATTCTCGTTTTTCGTCATTAATTCTTCTTTTCTTTGTTATTTTATTCATTTTTTCTAAGATAAAATATAATAATAATAATAATTTTATTACAGGCGCTATTCCGATTGGAGTCTAAGATAAAATATGGATTATTTTACCAATAAATTAAAAATAACATGTATTTCTCATTACCTATTGCGTCATACGGTTGTCAATATGAACGTGTTTATGTGCAAATTGGTACAAATTCTTCGATCATTCTGGTAATCAGCCATAATTTTTATTAAGTACTTGGGCGTACGATATTTGATCAGCTGGTCAATGATGAACGGATGCCATGCATGATCAAAGGCACCTCTTATATCCAGAGATATTAATGCAACATATATTACAAAATAAAGGATAAACACGAAATAAACAAATTTTAATAAGAATAAAATAAAAGAAATCTGAGCAATGACTCAACAAGAATTGTGCCGAAATTACGCATAAACAGAAATAATTCCAACATAATATATTAATTCCACCCACAACAAATATATTCTATTCGTTTCGCCAAGGATTCGATCTGATCTGTTCGTTAATATTAAAAATTGCATGGTCAGTTGACTTACCAGCAATGAACCCGAATTGTTTGGTTGAAAGGTGACCATTATTTATTAAATGTGAAGATATTCGCTGAGCCATAATCCGTTCAAGCGTCTTGCTCATTGTTGAAATCAATCCAATTGGCCGGTAGGCGTTTGTTTTACAGTAATCGTCTTTGCCGGGCTTGGGAATTATACGAATGATGGATGTTTTCCACATATAAGGCAAGTGGCACAGATCTAGACACTTGTTGTAAATGGCAAGCACAATTTCGGGACAAGACAGCCAGAGATTTTTCAATATTTTTGGAGAAATGCCATCATAACCTGGAGCTTTTCCTTCTTGGAATTTAAAGATGGCGTTGTGCAACTCATACGTTGTTATTGGTGGTGGTCGACTGAAATTGTTGTTCTTTCGGAGCCACTGACTTGTAAAATTTCTCATCACTTTTTGATCATCATTGTCTTCTTCTTCATCATCACTAGGGAACAAAGCATTCACCAATTTGGTTGTTGATTCAACAGGATTAGATGTGCCTTCAATTGTTTTTGTAATCATATGGCCACTATTTTTGATTAATCGGCAGACCTTCTGAAAACAGTTCACTGGTCCTTCGCCGTTAATATGATTGTTGAAAGCATCACTTTTGACCACTTGTAGCCTTAAGCGGTATCGCTGTCGAAGTTGAAGATATTCAGCTTTATATCTCTGTAATGCAAGTTGATTGTAGCACCTGCGGATTTTTCTGTAGATTCTTTTCTGTTCAGAGATAATTTGGCACAATTGTTGATCTTTGTTCCAAGCATCACACCTGGCTCTCTTGCTGATATATTTAGAACAACACTTGTCACATGCTTGTTACTGAACAACATTGGATGGATAGATAAATTTTATTTTATAGAAAATTAAAATTTTAATAAGTCAATTTTGTTTTATATTAATCCAAAAATTTAAATTCAAACAACATTGCAATTTCAACGAAATGTTGTTCACGTGAATCACATGATTATATATGCGGTAACAATGTTTTTTTTCGAACCACTACACCAGTGATTCTCAACTTTTTTTTGTTGCGGCACACTTTTAACGATTTCAAAATTTGGCGGCACATTGCATCACGGAATCAATGGTCAATCTAAAATTTGGCGGCACAATTTCAGAATTTTGTGTCACACAAAAGCGCCGCGGCACAGTGGTTGAGAATTACTGCACTACAACATTGAGTATTCTTTTTTTCGCACATGCGCATATTTTCACTACTACATTTCGTCATCATCCATGATTTGTGTGTGTTTTTTTTGTGTTTATTTCATATGATAACTTTATTGTATTTTCCAGAATTTTGATCATCAATTCTCATCAAAATGAACTTTTTATTTTTAAAATTTGGATCTAATCAAACGACATAACCACCGGATATTATGTAGATTTTAATAAAATCAAACTTTTTTTTTATTAATGACAAAAATAAATGAATTTATATAAACAATAAATATAAGAAAACAAACTTAAAACATACAACACTTCATACAAACAAAAGACACCATGTCATGGTGTTAAATTCATAGTTCATTCAACATATTATGCAAAAAGCATTCACGTTGTTACAACAAAGTGAATTTACACAACGATGGATAAATTTTGAAATGATGAAATCCATGTCGGATATAATGTGTTTGTCAAATGAACCTCATATCATCGTATCCGACCTTTTCGACGATGAAGTGCTAGGTTTTTTTCAACATCGAAATCATTGTCGTATTGTAGGACCATTGGTCATAACATATGGTGATGATGAATTCTGTCCAAGTCCACAATATTCAATACCATAACGAACATGGCCAATTTATAGTCAATGTATGCGTGGATTAGAAGTGACAACTTCTTTTATGCCAATCGACAAACGTCAATTTATCGAAAAACGAGTACAAATGATGTCTGGATATTACCACGATAATCTTCATACCAATACCAGTGCCATGGTTTCTGACTCGGTTCTCACAAGAAAAGCACGTATAGCTGCCGAAAATCATATACCAATCGTAACAGTTGACTGGATTGAATCTTGTTGAACAAATATCAACATGAACACAAATACAAGCAAATGAAGATTCCATCATATCGAAATATCGATTGCCAATTTTTCATGGTTTAAATATTGTTTTATCTGGTTTAAACGAACGGGAAAAAATACGTAATATTGTTGATTGGTATTGGTATAGTTATAATTTGGAAATATTGGCTCACTTAGGTTTTTCACAAGCATATATTTTCTTGTTTGACTATAATTTTTTCAGTTTTATTAGTTGTGCTTCACACTTTTTTCATTGAAATAAAAAATTCATCACTAATATCTGAGCCAATATTGGTCTATTTTAAGACCTGTCTCTTGTCTATGGTGGTCATGAATGAGTTAAAATATGTTTTTTTATATAAATATAATAAAAATAACATACAGTAATACCCCGCTTAACGCTTCCCCGATTAGCGCTGTTTCGATATAACGCTGTACAATTTACATTACATTGTTACATTGTATATGAAGGGTAAAAATGCATTATGTAAAAATAGCCCCTCTTAGCGCTGTTTCGCTTTACGCTCAAAATTTTTGGAACGTAACCCCCGCGTTAAGCAGGGTATTACTGTATATGTACAATAAATAAAAATAAAAGTATTTTCAATTTCAAAAATCAATTGGGATTGAATCAATTCTTATCAACAGGAATTTTCAATTAAAAAAGTAAGGAATTTAAATTCTGTCAAAAATGGCCAAATTTAAATGAAAAAAATAACGTCATTTATGAATAAAATAAACGTGGTGTTCTTTTTTCAGCCTGGCTGCTTTAAATTTTTGTTATTAAAAAAAAATTTTAAAAACGTGCTTGTTATGTTTCTTTTTTTTGAAATAAAAAAATTTATATTATAAAACCTACTAATGAATAAAAAAATTTGTGTGGTAAATATAGACATTGACGATGATGTTGTTAATGTCGATGATTATAATAATAAACATGAAGAATTACCAAATGATGTTGATGTTGATGATGATGATGATGATGATCGATTCGCAAAACAATTCAAGACAGAATTGTTTGAAAAATCTCATGGTGATGACAAACAAAATAAAGATTCGTTGAAACCTGTTTGGTTCGATGAAGATGATGAAATCGATGCATCCAAAGCGTTTGAAGGATGTAGCAAGATGCCCAAATTGGTCAAATCAAATGATAATTATCGTCAATACCTGGAACGTAAATTTACTGAAATTCATGAGCCACCAAATTGGGCACGAAAAACTTCGAAAAAACAATCTGGCAAACATGATAAACAACGAAAAGTTTCTTCCGATGATGATGACGATGATGACGATGATGATGATAACATCCAAGTTGATCAAATTGCTTATGACAATTTAAAATCATGTCGTTTCCATTTGAACAAAGAATTTTTACGTGTGAAAAAATGTCCTCATCTCAACATATCCAGTCGTATAAAAACATCATTGAATTGTGTGAATTTTCATTCAAATTCCACTGTTGCATTGATTGGATCACCAATTGGATTGGTTCGATTATTTCAAGTTGATGGCAAATTGAATTCAATTATTCAATCAATTTATTTCCAAGGATATCGATTATGTGATGCACAATTCATATCGGCCAATGGACAAGAAGAAATTATAGTCGGTTCCGATGGATCAAATACTAAATGTCATGGTTTCTGTTATTTTTACGATATGTTAGCTGGCAAAATTATTCGAATTCGTCTGTCCAAAGGTGGTAAACATCGATATTCATTACGTGGATTTCAAATATCACCAAATGGTTCTTATTTGGCTGCATGTGATCAAAATGGCAATATTAATTTGCTTTCAGCTTCCAGTAAAGAATTAATACAAGAAATGAAAATCAATGGCGATGTCAATTGTTTATCATTCAGTCCTGATTCCAATTATATAATTGCACATGGCCAACAAACTGGCTGTCAAGCATTCATATTCGACATACGAAATGCACGTAAATTCATACCATGTGTGAATCGTTTTAATGATCCAGATACAATTATTGCTACGGCAATGGATTTAAGTCCAACTGGAAATTTATTGGCAATCGGTTCAAATATGGGCACCATAAATTTATATCGTTTTGATGATATAATCAAACAAACAAATCCAATGCCAATAAAATCGATTATGAATTTGACTACGGCCATCAGTTCACTGAAATTCAATCATGATGGCCAATTATTGTTGCTAGCATCCGATCAAAAAAATGATGCAATTCGATTTTTAAATACAAATTCAATGACAGTATATAAAAATTTTCCACTATTTGTTGGCGGTAACAGTGGCCGTACATATGGAAGAATTTTCGACATTGATTTTTCACCACACAGTGGCTATGCATCATTTGTAACCGGGTCCGGTAGTGGTCATTTATTTCGAATAACTGAATATTCAAGTTATTAAAATTAAATTTCATTTTTTTAAAATTTAAATTCAAATGATCATGATGATGATGATGGTAAATGTTATTGTTTGATTGAAAATGAAATACAAAATACAAAAAAAAAAATAAAATTTCAATTTTTTCATCAACAAATAAATGTTTTTATCCACTTCAAAACTATGCAAATTATTCGAATCGCCTTTTAATCGCATCAATAGGCCACCAAATGATGCATATGCTGCCATACTGGTCGCTTCATGTGGTCCTTCATCACCTTCGATTCGATATGTTTTACCATACATAACATAATCAAATGAATCAGCACGATTAGGCGTATCATCACGTGGATTCCATTCACTATCATCTTGATAGCCTTCTTCATTCAATGTTGATGTGATTTGTAGTCGAAATTTATCACCAAAATCCATTGGATATATTTGTGTATTTACATCCAGTATTAGATCCATTTTGAATGATTCCGATTCACAATGTAATCGACTGACACGATCAAATTTTTTTCCCTCCGGATCAATATCTTTTACATCAAAGATATCCTCAAAAATGACATCGGCCATTGTTATTATTTGGATTTTAACTAAATTTTTATTAAAAGAAAAAAAAATTAGAAAACAGATTGTCAAAAATATCACATGTGTGTGATATATTCTCCAACATAACATTCATAAATGCAGTACACTTTTTAGCATTGGATGTTATGGTTTTTTTTATTTTTTTGAAATTAAAATTTTTGTTTTGTTTATTGTGTAAAGCTCCAAATAAATTCCAAAGTGGAATATATTTATCCATTTTTATCTAGGGTGATGAAAAATGCTGATTCTCAAACAAGAAAATGGTTGAAATGAGATAATATTGCACGGATATTGCATGGACATAAAAACAATTAGGGCAAAATGAATACAGTATGCTTTCAGTATATACAAGTTGAAAGTAATAAAAAGCATATATGCATATCAAGCACTTATTTCTGTTGTTTAACAATGATCTCAATCGCGTAGTGGTCAAAGTTTAAATATTGATTGTATTTTGTATGCTTCACAAACACATATTGATCGATGACGAGGATTGACCATACTTTTGTATTGCCACTGCGCATATAATCTCGTGTAAACTATCTTCTAATAAGCATTTTGATGAGCCACTCATTTGTGTTTTGGTGCTCAATGTTTATGTGTCTCGATCGATTGATTTGATAAAATATATTAATTTTGGTTTTTAATTTGAAAAACATCGAACAACAAATTTAAAAAAAATGAGTAAGTTAATCAATGTTAGATGAATAGATTTCATTTATTGTTAAATATTTTCTAGGTCATCGTGATTTTGGTGGCGGCCGTGGACGTGGTGGGGGACGTGGCGGCGGACGAGGATTTCATGGTGGACAAGGTGACCGTGGACCACAAAGAGGTGGTGGTGGTGGCGGACGAGGATATCATGGTGGACAAGGTGACCGTGGACCACAAAGAGGTGGTGGTGGTGGTGGCGGACGAGGATTTGGTGGACAAGGTGACCGTGGCGGAAGAGGTGGACAAGGTGGGCCTTACCGCGGTAGAGGTGGAGGAAGCAGTGGTCATGGTCATGGTCCACCTGTAAGCATTCCGGATGGTGAACAATATCAATTAATTCGCAAAAGTCAAATGGCTAAATCCGAAACAGGTGTCCCAATCGAATTGCTTTCAAATTTTTATCGAATGATCGTTTCGGATAAAATTGTTTATCATTATGATATCGATATCAAAGAAAAAGCTGATGAAAAGAAACCTGCTCGAGAACAGAATGAAAAATTCTTGAAAAAATATGCCCGAAGCTTACTTCCCGAATGGACGAAAAAGAATGGGCAAATATTTGAAAAAATTAACTATATCTATGATGGATGGAAAAATTTATACACAGTCCAAGAATTGCATTTGAACCAAGGATTTATTGAAGAATTGACCTATGAAATTGATGCCAGAAAACGGGCATTTGAAATCAAAATTAAACTTGTGGACAAAATATCCTTACGACCATTAATGGATTATTATGCAAAAAAAACTTCAAAAGTTGAGCCAAAAATTTTTTCCGTTTTGGACGTTTTATTCAACAACATTTCTGAAATATCATTCACATATTATCAACGAAAATTTTTCGACACCAATTCTGTACGTGATTGTCATAATACTAATTGGTGTCAATTTGCACCTGGATTTGCCAATTCAATACGAATGACAGAATTTGGTCCGGCCATGAATATTCATTTGAAAACTGCTTGTTTGATATCGAAAACTTTGAATCGTGTAGATGAAATGGTATGTGCTTTTAAAAGAAAACAGCCAAATGAATTATCGGATTATGAATTACGTGATTTGAGCAAATTCTGTCGCCACATGAAAATTTTCACCAATCATTGTGGTAAACGAACATTTTTGATTGAACGTTTTGAAAAGATTACACCGCAGCAGAAAAAAATTGATGATAATAAAGGCACGATTGCCGATTATTTCAGAAATACTTATGGTATTAATGTTAAAAGTTATCCACTCATCAAGACTACTGGAAAGATTGCAAAATATCTACCGATGGAGCTTTGTTATTTGGTGGACAAACAATTTCTTGCCAATTCCAAAATCGATGATCGTATACAACGTGAATTGCTTGAAATATCCACTCATCGTCCGGATGTTTATTTTACTAAAGCAACAACATATGCATCGAAAATAAAACAAGATGGTACTGGATTTCTTAAAGATTTTGGCTTAGATTTAATGATGAAGCCAGCTAAATTGATTGGTCGTGTTTTGCCTGAACCGAAACAATTTCATTCAAGACGTGATGACAAATATTATGTAACACCAAGAAAAGAATTGAAATGGGTTCTTTTTTCGTTAGAACCTTCGATAAGAAAAAATGATTTACAATCATTGGCTGATCAAATAATTGGCACTGGTGAAAAGGTTGGATTACGTTTTATGCCAAAATCGAACAACATTCAAGCAACAGAAGAAATTCGTAATCACAAAGATGTTATTGGTATTATGAAGAATATCAATAAGGAATATAACAAGGCCAATTCTCCATTGGATGTGGCATTCATTGTCATTCCGAGTTGTATGTATTTTTAAATTTCAATTGAATTTAATTTAATTGATTTTTACTAAAATTTTTATCTATACAGATAATCGAAATGTTCCATCTGTAGAAATTTATAATTTGGTTAAAGCTTTCAGTGAACGAGCTGTATCTGATTCTAACAATGGTGGATTTGGTTTCATCACTCAGTGCATGAAAAGCGACAACATTCGTCGACCAAAAGGTGGATATTTTCAGAATCTATTGCTTAAAGTGAATGGAAAAGTTGGTGGCGTTAACAGTATTGTTGATCCGAATGAATTTAAATTGAAACAAATGAAATTTGATCCATCAAGTACAATGGTCATTGGAATTGATGTTAATCATCCAAGCGTTACTGAAACTAGTAATTCATCGGTAGCTGCTGCAGTTGGCAGTTTTGATTCGCTTTTCTCTAAATATACTGCCAGTTTAACCGTTCAGCCAAAAGATCGTGATGAAATTATCACACGTTTGAATATAATGATCAATGAACTGTTGCAAGAATATAAACAAAAGAATGGCAAATTTCCGGAAACTTTATTGATTTTCCGAGACGGTGTAAGCGAAGGACAATTCGATAAGATCAAGGATAAAGAATTGCCTTTGATTCAGAAAGCTGTGAACGATTGTGGTGGAAAAATGAAAATTGTTTTGTTCATTGTTCAGAAACGTCATCATACTCGTTTCATGAGTATTAAAGGCGGTCACGGACCACGACACGATAGTTATAATGTACCATCCGGTACAGTGGTCGATAATTCGATTGTGGACCCAAAATTTGATTCATTTTATGTGAATTCACATTTTTCACCATTGGTAAGTTTTTTTTTATTACCGATTATATGTTGGTTTTGATGATAATAATAATAATTTTAATCAAACTTTCTTTTAATTTTAAGGGTACATCTAAACCAACAAAATATGTCATCATACGTGATGATTTAAAATTGCAGCCAAATCAATTGCAACAATTGTGTTTTTTCATGTGTTACAATTGTGTTCGTTTCCGTGGTGTCATTGCCATACCGACACCGATTCGTTATGCTGATCTTTGTGCTTATCGATCCAAATTGCATATTGAAGGCCAATGCAAATTGAGCATGATTAATCCAAAAGATGCTGAACAGGCTATAATTACACAATTAAATCCAATGGGTTAAGATCCATAAAAAAGTGCAGAATTTCCTCTATTATTGCTGAATGAAATTATTTACATTGCACATTTATTTTCATCACATATTTTATTGGATTGGATTTTATTCTATATTTTTTTTAATATTATCACATAATAAAGTATTTTTCAAATTTGAAAACCAAGTCATTTTAAAACAAATTTTCATTCTAGCTGTACTGATCTATTAGTACGCTGTCAAATGTATATTTGGCCTAGTTATCAATTATGTCATTATTTTCATTTCAAATAAAAATGAGGGCCGGGAATCGTTTAACGATAATAACAAAAAAAAATGAACGAAAACTGGACTTACCTAATTTTAACATTCGATTCTTGTTCCTTTCACTGTTGTTTCTGGTTCTATGTATTTCATACACGTACTGAATCTGAATAATGATGACCAATGAAGACAGGATATAATATAACGATTACTCTTTTTTTTGCCAACCGAACAATACAATACACCCACCCACACCTACCAACCACGATCGTGTGTGTGTGTGTTTGTGTGGAATATTTCCATTGGTGGATCCAACCATTCCAAAAACAGCCATTCCATGTATAGGTGTGTGTGTGTGTGTGTGTGATACTATTTTTAGGATTCATCCATATTATAATGAATGGCACGTCATAACCACGACGACGGCGATGACAATGATGATAGTGAACAACCAAGGTATAGTAACATTATTTTTTTTTTCTCTGATTCGGAGCGTAGGCACACGAACATTGTCGACCAATTTTTCTTCATTTCAATGATTGGTTGACTGGTCATTTTTTTCCAATGGTTAATATGGCTGTATAATTATCGTGTTAGCAATGTTTTTTTTTCGATTGACAATCATTCGATATCTATAGGTTAGTAAGTCGAAAGGCTTGTTTAGCTTGATTTACGTAAATAGTGATAGGTGATCGCCAATGAATCGAATTGTGATGAGAAAAAAAAACAACAAATCTTGCATTCAACCAATATTTTCCATCAACAATAAAATTTTTCTAAATTCAATTTTCTACAAATAAAATCTGATTGATTGGTTGTTGTTGTTGATAATATGCCACAATCATAATAATTAACACACACATACACACACGAACACAATTTTCAAGATCAATCGAATTATAATAAACAAGTGCTCGTGTAAAAGTTGATTGGCCTTGTTTCGAACATTGTAGCCATTATAACCACAAGTGGTGAACATATATAATAATAATTGATATATATCTTCAATGTTTCATTGTTAAATGGTAAGTACTACTGTTTTATTTAGATGAAATCCTGTTTAGAATTAAAACAAAAAACAAAAATAATTAGTATATGCAATGACCAATAATCATTAATATTAGATAAAATGTTACGATTCATAATTGGAGAATCACTTGAATTCTTTATATTGATTTCTTCGATTTGTCCATCTTTTGTTTATCATCACCGAAAAGAATCATATCATATTCAATTAATTAATTAATTAATCATAATCTGTGAAAATAAAAAAAATGAAAACAAAAGAGGAAACGATCAAATTGTGATCGCGAACATATTTTGTACGCAATCTCAAATCGGATTGATAACACAGCATATGTGGATTTTCATTTTCATTAAAGCATCACATTGGTGATCAAACATTTTTTTTCATCACGATGCGCCATTGGTTTCTCAATTTTATTAGCGTATGTGTGCCATAGGTTGGCCACCACTTTGTTTCATAATGTAAGAAAAAGAAAGAGAGAGAGAGAGAGAGAAACAAATAAAGAGAAAGAAAAAATTGAGGAAGAGGTGGAGCGATCAAATACTAAATGACGCGCCATTATATTTTTGACAGACACACACAATGTCGATATATATCGATGGATTCGAATTTCAAACATTTTTTTTTCACAATTTTTTTTTGTTCATTCCAAATGTTTCATTTGTTGTCATTTTCATGTGCAATTTAAAAAAAAAAATTCATCCACGGTGGTTTTTGTTTGTTTGTTTGTTTGTTATTATTCCAACAAATCCATGTGTTTGAAATCCAGTGGTGACAATTTCTGATGTTTTCTTTACCATTAAACATTAAATGAATGTGTGTGTGTGTATGTGTGTCATCATCATCAAACGAAGAATAAAAAAACAGAATTTTACCGTTTCATCATCATTTGGTCATCAAAAACCATATATTTACATCAAAGGTAAATTATTTGTCCCATCGATTTTGAACTAAAATTTTCTTTATTTTTTGTGTGTGTGAAAAAATATATCCTTCAAACGAAAAAAAAGGGTTGAAAAAAATGAAATTTGAAATTAATTTTGCGTAGGTTTTAATAAAACATTTTTACATTCAAGGAGATTTACGTTACGTTACGTTAAGTAAAAACAGGTAAGATTGAATGTGTGCATGGCTAATTCAAATCACAACATTTGTGTGTATGTCTGCATTTTTTTTTTCATTAACATCATCATCATAGCCAGTAGTGTGTGTTGTTGTTGCCAAAAAAAAAAAACAATTAGCAAATATTAATTATTTTGAATCGTGACCATATCATTTTCAATGCATCTATCAATCGTTTTTTTTTTACTTTCAATTTTTTTTTGTTTTGAAAATATGGTCCAATTGGAACCATAGTGTGAATTTTTAAAATTCATTCGATTGTCAATGACTGATTTACCAGAGTAAATCTGTCTTTACATTTCAAATGATAATTAAAATTGTCGTTGATTGTCATCATCATCATTATCGTCATTGTCAACATTGAAACAACAACATTGAAATCACAGCCTACTACTACTATAGTATGATGTACATTTGAAATTTTGTTTTTTTTGTTTTTGTCCAAATAATGATGATGCTTTTTTTTCATTATTTGAAAATTGAAATGTCCAAATTTGATCATAGATCCATCTTGTCCCTGTGTGTTTGTGTTGTGTTGAATTTCATTGAATTCAGTTTAGTTTTCAATTCTGAAAATAGCAGCAATCAGATCATCATCATCATCATTATCGTTAGTAAGTAGAAAAAAAATTCTGTTTGTGTGTGCCTTGTATGTAACACAATTCTGTAACTATTTCCATTTTAAAATGGATGATTTACAATTGTATCAAACACATTATGGCATCAATTTGAAATGATAATGTTCCAATATATGCATGTTTCATACCTTGGAAATGTGTGTGTGTGTGTGTGTGTGTTTTGTACAGGATTTATTATTGTGATGGTAATATATTAGTTGTGAACACAGATTTCTGTCAATACCAAATTGAACAAGATTATTATTATCAAATGATGATCACCAATGTTGTTTTGCAATTTTTTTTTCTTTACACAAAAAAGATTTTCCATTTCAAGCAACAACAACAACAACAACAACAACAGCAACAAAAAAGTCAAATTTGGCCCCTATGAACAATAATAATTCATCATTCGTTTGGTTGGTTATTACAATCAATCGTTTTCAATGTCAATTGTTGACTGAAAATAGATTATTTTCATTGACCTGGCTGGATATGCCATATGATGATGATGATGATGATGATGGTGGTGGTTTTTTTTTAAAAAAAAAGAAGATATAATGATAGAATGAAAATATCAATTGTTTCAATCAATCGATATACTATTATACACTTATAGTTGTAGACTGGCCCCAAAAATATCATTATAACATTCAAACACACACACACATTCATTTACTCCATGTGTGTGTTTGTCATAGCTGAATGGATTTTTTTTTTTTTTGATCCTGACCTTATCCTTGTGTGTGTGTGTTCGGTTGTCATTTTATATATTTCAAAATTGTAAATTTTTCATTATTATTACGAAAACAGATGGATAAAAGCAGTGAGAGATAGAGATAGAAAATTCATTTCAATTTCCATTTGATTTATTTCAATTTCAATTTTTTTTTTTTTTTTCAGTCTTTTTCACCGAGCTAATTTGATTGATTTGAGTTTTTTTTTTTGCTTTTTGCTTCATTGTTATTGCATATGCATTAATGATCATCATCATCATCATCATTGATTTGATTCGATTTTTATTTTTTGGCTCCATTCAAATCGATTTGATTTGAGATGATCTAATTATTTGCAATTGTTTGCGTTTTTTTTCGTTTCATGTGTGTGTGTATCAGAAATTGAATTCATTATTGCATCTCAAATTTTAAATTTTAAATTTATAATAGATAGATAGATAGATATTTGACAAAGACAACATTAATTGATTCATTTTGTTTTTCCAATATGATCACATCAATTTAACCATTATCTAATGATGATGATTATTATAATGAGCACAACATCCGACAATGATTTTGATTAGCATAATTTTTTTTTTTTTTTTTTTGAAATTGATTTCAATGCAATTAACCAATCATCCAATCAGTAGTAGTAGTAGGCTTCGATCGACAATAGTCTTAAGAATGATGATGATGATAATCGCAAGAATGAACAATTGTGATGAAGGCGCCAAATACATAGATATTTAACCTTGTGTATTTCACTTTTTTTTGTTACTATTAATTTCCATTTGAATTAACAAATAATCATCATCATAATTCAAATATTTATAAATCCTACAACAACTAACCATCATCAAAATCAATGAAAGGATTATATGATGATGAATGAATGTTGCCTCCACATACATATAATATATTCACATTCACCCTTCTTGCTTCTTGTTGTTGTTGTTGTTGTCGATTCAACCTAACAAATTCAATGGTACACCACCTACATACAATATATGCTATTTATAAGGTTATCATCGTATAAAATTATCATAAACCATCATCATCATCATCATGTGATCATCATCACCATTGAAACATCAAAATCATATAATCATCATTAGAACCATTTTTGGAACACACACACACACATCAAAAAACGAACTTGAAAATTGATGATGATTTGTTGTAGAGGAATATTGAATCGAAATTTCCATTTTGTTCCTCATATACACACACACACACAATCGTTTACGATATGATGATGGAATGTGTGTGTGTGTGTGTGTGTGTGTGTGTGTTGGTTGGTTGTTGATTTCCAATTTTCTTTTCTTTTTTTTTCTCATTTTGTGACCATATTCGTTTGATTGTTCAAGTTTTTTTTCAATTATGATGGGAGAATTAATAAAAATTTTTTTATTAAATTCATCACGTGCGTTATTTCTATGACAATATTTGGCCCACACACACACACACAATGTACAAAGTTTCAATGTTATAAAAGTATATATGGATTCATTTCCTGAAAAATGATGATTGTCACGTCTTAATTTTAGGAATCTGTTTCAATTTTTTTTTCTCGGAACACGGATCTTTATTAATGATTGAAATTCTTGTTCATTATTTTCTAGTCATCATCATCATTGAATTGGATGAAAACCGTTCGCTCATGATCATTAATCAACCTTGCAACAAAATAATGAAATTTCAATTTTCACATTCTACATATGATTCTGAATGGGAATCTATTTATTCAAAATTATAAAAATGATGAGTGAGCGAAACAGCTGTTTGTGTTATAGATATATAGATTTTCTTAATCTTGATAAAATTATCTTTTTTCTACATCGTTAAAAATCAATCGATCGTTTGAAAAATCAATTTGTTCGAATGATTCCGGTTTTTTTTCGTTTAGTTTTGTTTGGAAATCAAAGTATTATATATTCAGTAATAAGAAAATGTTCATATTGCGTGTTGTTTTGTTGTTGTTGTTGTTTGTTGTTGTTGTTTTTTTCAACAACAACAACAACAACAGCCATGAAATGATGAAAATTTTTAAATTCATTTTATTATATATAGTGATAAACAGTGACACAAACACAGGAACAAAAAAAAGTGAAAAATGAAATCAAATTAGGATATCCGACATTAACAACAACAGCAACGATTACTTACTAACCATAAACACACATGTATGTGTGTGTGTACACTGTACATACATGGTGTCATCAATTTGCATCCACATCACCATTATGGTAAATAATCATCATCATAAACACATGATGATAATAGGTGTAAAATTTTAAATTTGACTTTGACTCCCTGCCAATCATTGTTAGTGTTAATGTTTTTTTCTTGTATGTTCAAATCGACACAATACATGATGATCATCATGATCATTTCTTCATCATCATCACTTTTTTTTTTGATTTTTGTATACAATAATAACAACTACCGTTTTTGTCATATTTATAGCTTCATTCAATTTATTCAATTCATTTATATACCGATGAAGGTGATGCACATTTGCCATATGACATAGATTCAGATTCATTAACTTGTTGTTGTTGTAAGTATAGGTGTTCAACATCAACATTGACAATCAAATTTTGATTATTTTCACCATCATTTTTAATTCCAAACCAAACCGGCATATTTTTTGTCTCTGTTAAATCAGTGAAAGTGTCCATCTAGCATGTCTATTGAGCAATCTTATTTATGCATATTCCAATTGTTGTTGGCTGTTTGTTTGATCAAACAAATTTTGTTTTTATTTTCTGTTGTCTGAATATTTTTGTCAATATATATGACAACAACAACAACAGTGGTTTCAGTGGTTGTTGTTTGGCCATCAGTAGAAACATGTGAGGAGCACATCTGTTTCATTTGAATGTGTGTGTGTGTGTGTGTGTAAATGCATAAAAACATCCTCATTGAGGATGATTTTGATTCAATGCTTGTCATATTTACTCATTCATACATATTCCATTCTATTTAATTTCAATTTTCTTATCTCATCTCTTAATAAAAATGATGATAATGATATCCGGTTTGTTGGCAATTCATGCATGGTACACAGGATGATGACAAGATGAATGGATAAATTGAAAAAAATTTTTTCGTTTGTAAATTCATCATTGGTTTCGAGCATTGATGGTTGACTTTACAAATGAATCATTTGACTAATTATACAATCAAAACAAAACAAATGATCTTGGTAGATAGAGAATGAGAGAGAGAGAGAGAAACGGATTGAATAAATGATTTTCATCAATTATGATATGTAAAGGCCTTCTATATTTCAATGAAGGATGATGATGATGATGATGAAATGTCAATTAAAGATTGAAAACCATCCGCGCGTTATCTCATGTGTGCTACACACTCCATTTGTTGTTGTCCTTATTGTAGGCCAATAGATTTGGCAAACAACAACAAAAAAAAACACGAGGATTCTTTTCTGATGAAAAATG